GTGCTAGCCTGACGATGTGACCCGGCAAAGCATATTCTAAGGCAGTCATTATAGGCGTATGATTGGTTAAAGAGCTCATAAAAAACCATTGGCGGTACCCATCTCAGCTCTCCTTCATTTTCTACATACTCCTTTTAAATTAGAGTCGGAAAGGGGAGTCACCTACAGTGAGTGACCGATCTCATGAAATGTTGGCTGAAATATTGAAATGCGCAGTTGTTATTACTAATTATCTTGCACCATAATCCTATGATATTTTGGACTTGGCAGGATGTCAACTTTAAAATACACTTCTTTTCAATCTCCTGTAGAAACCGTACTCGGTACAAGGTAGCTACTTGATTAGCATGCATTTTTCATATTGATTTTCGATGGTCTTGCAAATTCAAATATATCTTATAGAAACCATCAACAAAAATATGCTTTCTTCCAGTCAATTAATAGAGAATTACGTCAACTTCGTGTTTTCTATTCGAGGAAGGAGTATAATAAGGTTTTTAAAAAGTTTTCTAATTGCCAAATAATTTGGAGCCTGATCATTCGCTGCATTAGCGTTTAGTGATTCCAGTCTACAAGGTACATGCGTTCCGCGTAAAGAAAATCACATATTTTTCTATGCCTATAAAGGATATCATACAGAGTCCATAAAATTTCGCGATGGATGCGGACTATGTTTTACATTTCATGAGGAGCTGTGGTAAATGTACGGGTACGATGCTATGTGAATGGACATTGTGAGGTTTTAAAAATTCCATAATTCGAAACTTTTTAAAACCTAATTATACTCCTTCTTCGAATAGAAAACATGAAGTTGAAGTAATTCTCTATTAATTGACTGGAAGAAAGCATATTTTTGTTGATGGTTTCTATAAGATATATTTGAATTTGCAAGACCATCGAAAATCAATATGAAAAATGCATGCTAATTAAGTAGTCATTTTTTACCGAGCGCGCCTTCTATAGGAGATTGAAAAGAAGCGCATTTAAAAGCCGACATCCTGCCGAGTTCGAAATGTTATAGGAATATGCCTTAAGTTAATCAGTATTACAACCGCGACCAAGTAATCCTTCCTAATCGAAAACGCATTTCAGAATTTCAGCCAACATTTCATGAGATCGGTCACTCACTGTACTTGTTTTGTCATTTTGTGTACTGTAAAAGTGATTTGAGCGGAGCGCATTATCAAGTACGTGAAATTGCAGTCCACCCTAGGTTGATAGACCTGGGTCCGGGGAGCAAGAACAAAGTGAATCCAGGCATCTTAAACCACTCGTTACTGGCTCGATTATCATAAGTAATGAGCTGTCGGCAATGTCAGCTCTTGAGATAATGGTATAAACACCACTGACTTATTTGTTTTCGATCCTCTTTGTAATCGAGACTGAACTGCACCTGTGCCCATGTTCGCCGCGCTGTCAATTTTAAAGACTACAGCTGATCGAAGTTCAGGCGGGACCTGACATAATCTTTATTGTCATGCTCTCGAATACGAGATGTTGGGAATGGAATAGTGTCAACTAACTTATTTTGGCTCCGAATTCCTGGAGGAGGGATAAGTAGTGAATAGTCCAAAAGCAAGATTGGGACATTCGACTTTAAAGTTACAAGATTCTCATTGAACATAATCGTTTTCAGTACCCCTGCCTGCGTCGAGTGCCTCTTTGTTGGCGGTTAGTTGAGATGAAAGCGTGAGAGATAGCTGGACTAGCAAGGCCCGAAGGAAGTAAGGAGAGACATTGTCTACGATCTCAACATGTACCAGATTATGAAAATTTAGTCATTTGAAATTGACGCCTGATTAATTTGTTTTCGCTACGAGGCCTGTTGACGGCCAATGAGTTCCACTGAAGGGTGGCGGGAGGAGGTGTTGAGTTTCCACCCGAACGCAAATGCCTGGGAGTCACCAATGGCCGCCAGTTGACGCTCAGTAGGCATTGTTGTAAGGAGGTTGAAGAGCCCGTCAAACCCGAATCGTATGCTGACAACAAGAGATTGGCGCTAGGATCACTCAGTTCTCTATAATACCTACATCCTCACCGCTGGATAGGCCGTAGAGTATGGTGCCGAGTTTTGGGCGTCTTGCAGCACCGCGGCAACACTAGAGAAAAGCAAAAGATTACCAAATATACTCTCGGCCTGCGATGGAATTACTGGTTACAACGACGCCAAATCAGACTAGTCTTCTCGAAACCGACTTCCTTTCCATTGCGGTCCAATCGCTTCTGCCAATTGCCTTAAAAACTACATCTATTTCAATTACGCCAGCCAGAAAACGAAGCTAGGTTTGTGATTCACGATCATTCAGAAGATTGATATTGGATAGGGCTGTAGGGTAAGCCATATGAGTGTGAGCATTTCTGTCCAAATTGCCTTAAAGTCATTTGTTAACTCCGCCTTGTGTGGAGACTTGCAGAGGCAATATTAAACGGAAGATTCCCATAGGGGTGCAGCCTATACCCTCCTAGAAAAGTGAGATAGGGCGGTAGGGCACAATGACATCTACTGATGATTTTGAGAAGGAGGGTTTTCGCAATAGAAGGGCTTGGCTCAGTCGCGGTGATTGGTGATTTAGCCGGCCTCGATGAGATTTTGGTTTGTGCCTCTTCATGCGTGAGAACCTATAGCAACAGATCTGGAGGGCTGGATCTACAGTTGGTGGGCTAACTCATGAAATGTCAACCGAAATTCCGAAATTCGTTTTCGTTTCGAAAGATGAATTAAGTATGGTTGTAGAACTAGTCCTCATGCAGCATAATTCTATAATAATTCAGTTGCAACAGGATGCTGGCTTTCGAACGAACTTCTTTCCGGCTGCATGCAAAAACGGCACACTGTAAAAATGCCTACTTAATAAGCATGCATTTTTCTCATTGATCTTCGATGTCCTTGGAAATTTAATTGCATTTAATGAAAAACATGCATGAAAATATTTACTCTTTTGCTCATTCAGTAGAAAATTACGTCTTCTTTCGGATTTATACTCGAAGGAAGGATATAATTCGGTTTTAAAAAAGTTTCTAATTGTGAGATATTTCATTACCATGAAATGGCTGTTCATAAAACGTCATGTCTCTGCATTTACCAATTTCGCTCGTAAATTTAGCAATATGGCTCAACTCCACTGCTAAATTGTATAAACGCTATATAGTCTCCTCTTAAAACCGTAGAAAAATGTGTGGTTTTCCGTACGCGGAAAATAGATGACTTGTAGTTTGGAAACCCTGAATGCAAGTGTGACGGCTGGTCGGGTTCGAAATCATTCGGGAATTGGAAAAGTTTTTGAAAACCGAATTATCTCCTTCCTTCCAGTATAAATCTGAAAGAAGACGTAATTTTCTACCGAATGAGCAAAAGAGTAAATATTTTTATGCATGTTTTTCATGAAATGTAATTAATTTTCCAGGGGCATCGAAAATCCATGATAAAAATGCGTGCTAATTCGGTAGTCCTTCTTTACCGAGTATAGTTTTTGCATGCAGCGGGAAGAAAGTTCGTTCGAAAGCCAGTATCCTGGGGTAACTGAATTATTGCAGAATTATGTTGCAGGCTGATTAGTTTTACAACCCTACTTAATTATTCTTTTTGAAGCGAAAACGCATTTCGGAATTTCGGTTGACATTTCATGACTTGGCCCAACTAGTGAGACAGACCGAAGGTCTGAACTACGGGTACTGAGTCAGGTTTCTATTTCATCTCGTCTTTGCCGCCGCCTCCAGGCAAACAGTACGTCGAATCAAGGGCAGCAGCAGCAGCAGCAGCAGCAGCAGCAGCAGCAGCAGCAGCAGCAGCAGCAGCAGCAGCAGCAGCAGCAGCAGCAGCAGCAGCAGCAGCAGCAGCAGCAGCAGCAGCAGCAGCAGCAGCAGCAGCAGCAGCAGCAGCAGCAGCAGCAGTGACCTCATGAGCCTGGTGACTAATAAGGCGCACAGACTACCTCATTCGTCTTCCCACTGTAGCCTGAGGAGGTATCCTCATTGCAAACGACGCGGACTGTTTTATTTGAGACGAAGTCGGTGTACTTCACTCTAGCGGCCGTTCCCGAGCAACGATGGTCAGACACCTCCAACGTGGGCCTCTCTTTCACGCACACAGCTGAGCACTAACAGCCACCGAGGAGAACGGACTTTTGATACACGCGACTGTCCGTGGGGATGGAGATATTGCGTGGGGTCCATAGACACTTCTTAAGGCTGCTGAACCCCGAGCAAACAGCAAGGACTCGGAGGACGGTGACTTCCCATTTGACGACAGCCTCCCCCGGGATCATTTGATCTGTCCATTTCTTAAAACTGACAGTCATTAATCGCAGGGGCTGCACTCTCCATGTCAGAATAGCAACCCGAAAATGTTCTAGCAATCCCAGCGATGACGAATGTAAGCAGAACGATGTGATCTACGCAGTCAAGGTCAGTCAGCCGGCGTTCGAATGCAAATTAGACCCCGTCAGCACTGCGTGCAGACCTTTGGAGAGTCCAAGCAGTGGATGGTCCAGAGTTGTTTGTGTGAGGAAGGAAGAACGAATCACGATGTGGTGGCGTGTGTAAAACTCTCTTATTTTAGGTTTTGTCATCTCAATATGAATTTTAGCGCACTAAAACCACGTATTCGGTGTCAATACAGGCTTCCCATTAACATGACGATGGAGTTTACGAGTGTCAATGACATTTCAGGCCTCTTCCGTGGGGGTCGTCACTTCAACCCAGTAGATTTTTCGGTCATCTCCAGAGTTGGCGGAAGGAGTCCTGCTCGCGTTAACTACTTTGAACCGTAGAAAGCGATACACGTAAGGTTCGTTATTTGATTCACTCCCTATGGCGATGCCGGGTGAATGCGAGAACTCGTCAGTGACTTCGTGAAATGGAGGCTCCAATGATGACCATTTATTTCTGCCTTCCCCCCCGACATGTGCGACGGATTGACATTGGGTTTCTGTTCTCAAAGCCTCAGTTACGTTGGGCTTTTGCAATTTTACGACATCGAATCGTCCTGTAGGAGACATTTTGATAAGTTCACTTCAGGTGTTTGGGAATGAGAACGTGGTCCGGTCCACAGGCGCTGCCACTCTGGACAGCACGCATCGATCCACTATCGTATAATAAGCTAGAAGACCGTGAGCCGACTAGAAGGTAATCAACCTGACCGGACGTACGGCCATCAATTGAACACCAGGTTTGCCGCGGTGCATGCAGCACTAGGTAGTGACAGCCAGTCGACATGGACATCACCTCACCATTCCCAAATCATGCGCCAGATCCAAGGTGACTGTTTGAAGAGTCGCCTGATACGGTCTGAGCATCCCCTCCAGCGACAATAATCAGCAGCAACTCAGGGTTCTGACCATTTCTTGAAAGTGCAAGACTCCCATATCGCGTCGATCGACAGCTGATAGTAGCGCGTAGATGGAAACGGCTAATATGCTAATAAAGTATCCATACCGTCACACATAAGACCATCGATATTTGACTGATGTCCACGCAGGCGATGCATGATTTGCCTGTTAGGAGAGAACAGTTGTCACACCGCGTCTACCAGAGAAATCACATGGATCACTGCAGCAAAAGGCGAAGTTGAAGCTGACCCTTGGGACCCTGATTTGCCGTGGAACAGATTCAGGGTTTAGAATATCGGATAGGCAACAGGCACGCGCGCCTTTCTGCTGAAAATTGCACCCGTTGGACCTTGGCAACCGGGGCAGAGCTATGTGCACACATTGAGCCATTTAATACAAAAAGTTCATTCCCGGTCGTGTGACCCCTCTTGCATGTTATTCGTCTCCACCACTGGAGTAGGAGTGCGGAGCGCTTCAGTCCCTGAGTACGTCTTAGCGATGATCGTAATGGTATTTTGAGGATATATACTCATGAAGTCCCCGGGAACTGTTAAATACCGGTTTGGCTCGTAACAACAACTTCTTTTACGCTTTTCTTCTTGTCGTTTGGCTCAAGTACCTGCTCTCAAAGCAGCAGCGTCAAGCAGACTTATATACTGACGTTTCACGGTTGTCATGCCACAGTGCTGTCATTGAACTGTTCCGTATGTACCACGGCAGGCAGTGTGCCAGATGCCAATCCTGAATGCCCTGAAATCACGATCGCTGCTGCTTGTGAGACCTGAAGGCCTGCACTTTTCTCAGGTGGTCTCCACTGAAAGTCATACCGCTAGCCGCCACCCGTAGAAGTGCTGAGTGCGCAACAGCTAAACGAGTAGACTTTGAGAGAAGAGTCTGGGTTTTCTAGTACCCATTGGGAACCTCCGAGGCTTTATCATTGTAAAAAGATTTATTTATTCTGTGGATTGCTGATTTTTCCACTACCAATCCAGATTGAGAACAGAGGATTAACAAGAAGCCTGAACCGAGTAATGCTTATAAACGGCAAATAAATCCAAACAGCCAGATCTTGTTATCAGAGATGCAGTCAAGGGTAAGATATGGTGGACACAATACTGTTGGCGTTGGGGTTATGTATTAGGATTAGGGATTATGGTTAGGGGTAGGGGAACTATTTCCAAACCACTCAAAGTACAACCGCGCATTACCAATGGTTTTTCTTTTGCATACAACTACTTGCCCCCTTTGCCTGTGCATTCCCCAGGTCCACCTGTAAAAACCTCTATCACCACCGGTCCCATATTACAGGTGGCTGGGGTCTGTGTACTTCCGTTGGGGCTACATAACCGCATTTGACCCAACCAAGCCTAGAACTTTCAAACCTCTACAATAGTTTAAATAAAGAGCGGCTCTTTTCACGACTACCTGGCACCTAGGCCCCTGTGAGATACGTGACAACAAAAAGTAGATCTCCCGGATAGTGCGGAAAGCTACTGGCAAGAATGTTATGCAAAACATACCCGAGCCATCACAATGTATTGCAACGGTCTTTGGAGCATAGTCAAAAACGAGCTGGAACAATGTCCCCAGAGGACGATCAAATATTTCCGACTACGAAACTGCGTCATTCGAATAGGCTGGAACGGAAAGGAAAAATAAGTCGTTTTAACAGGAAATGTGAATATTGAACAGAGCTGATCAGTAGGTACTTATGCAGGGCTCTGCGTGCATCGTTTCCTAGCTTCGGGCTTGTACGCCCGAAAGGCAGCTTCCAATCTTCAAAATATGCCGGCCACCTGCAAAGTATGGAAAAGCCTAAAGATGGTGTTTTACCTCCAAGTGAACTGCAATCCGTCGAACACGGCGCCGTCTCTGTCTATACAAGTAAGCTGACTATTGTCCACTATACAATTGTCAACACGCAGTGCTCCCGCCCAGCCCTGCATGCCCAACCACAGCCAAACACTCAGTTCGGAGAACTCCTCCAGCAGGCCACACTGGTTAGACCATCTCTGTGCATGGTGTACAATGGACGAAGTATTTGATTCGGCGACTGGAAAACCTGCATCCAACATGCTGTCCCCCAGTGCCGCTTCCGCCTCTCCACCGTCCGCTACAAATCAAGCCTTGGACTTGGCTCACCTGATCCTAGCCAGGCTAGACGCTATCCACAACGCTGCTCTTCTCCGACCAATAGCAACCGAACTGGTTGCATCGCCTGTTTCTCTCCAAGCTCCCACACTGGTTCGGGTTGGAGCGGAGGGCTGCTCAGCGGTAACAATGACATTTACCCACCGCCAACTCACTTTTTGCCCGGTTGCTAAGCGTCTAAGACAGTACCAAAGTTGTACGCCTGGCGATTGTCTTTTTTTGCAGTCGTTGGTACATGAATGGCAAAGGATTTAAATTTTGCTCTCAGCCCTCGAGTCAAAGCCACTGATGATGCGGTTTATTGGCGGCTGCTCTCCACTTAAATGATAGCAGGCAATTTGAAGGAAATAGCCCAGTTGTTCTGACGGTTTGTTTTTCCTGTTGCGCCTGGGGAGGCAGATTTGAGGGGCGGATCAGTGTGTGAACTCCTCGCAAAAGGGGTGAGTTGTTTTCGTAAACTTATACACGCCAAAAGACACAAAAAACCTCACAGACAGTTGTTTTATGGTGTACTTTTGCGATCTCCTCCAAGCACTGGATGCAGGGAGGCTCAAGGTTAAGAAGAAAAGACACTCTTGCATCACATAATAACCGATTGTTTAAGAGGGTTGAGCGCTGAATGACGCCAGTCAACTTTAGAGGCAACTAACTGACGCCAAAGACGACATGCATTGAGCCTGGGTCGCCGAGGAAGAGAGGTTGGAGGGGAGCACTTTACTTTTATTCGTCAAAGAAGCAAAGCAATCAGGTGAAAGAAAGTGTCACTGAGTTATCCTGCTGTATGTATATCTTTGTGCACACACCGGCAATTTCAGTAACGCTTGCAAACACGGGTGAAATGAGTACTTTTGGCTTGAACGCAGGCATCAGACAGCCATAACCGAGTCCCAGGCTCGGAGAGCTTCCGATTGAAATTCGAGTCCATTTGTTCATCGAAACTATCTCCCCACCCCGTAATTTCGCTCGCACTCCTAGACTTGGGTGTAAACTGACCTAGAATTCAAGGTACGGGCTATCTTCATTGCCAAAAAATGACTGCATATGCGTCGGGAACAACATTTTGGCTTTCCTATGCCTACCAGAGGTGCATTTAAGTAGTACGTAATTAATGGACGTTTGGTCTACCACTATTTCAGCGCCATGCGGGTGCGTATCCCCTCTGTTTGGGCAAACACA